TGCATGGTAGTGAAAAATCAAAGAAATCAAGCTGTATAAAAGAGAATGATAACAAGCATATTAAATTTCAGAAAACGAAGCAGCCCAGAGACTGCTTTTTATCAGATTCTAATTTTCTGAGCATGAAATGAGGTGCCCTCCTTTCGGTGCCTTGTTATTCTGGAAATAAGACTGGCTTTAAGTGATATTACAGCTCATTGCACATGGGGTAAGACTCTTCTGAAGAACTTGGAGTAATGAACTATTGTCTTCGAGAAGACAATAATATCAGCTTGGCAGGGGAAAAAACAGAATTTACTTTTCAGATTATAAAAAATTACCATCATTGTCTTCTGCCTTTCAGCTATGAGTTTAAAAAAAAAAGCCCTAGGCAGCCTAAGGGTCCTGATCCTTAGATGTGTCCTCCTGACAAACACAGGCTGCCATCTACTTATGAGAATGTTAGTCGAGGAGAAGGAGTGCTTGGAGCTGAACACTAGCAGTAAAAGTTGGGGTAAATTGCTTCACTGAAACAGCACTTATAAAAGTATTGCAAAGCGCTGGACAATGAAAGAGAAAAAAAAGGAGGATTTTGCTTAACTTCAATGCTTAATTATGGATCACATCACAGAATTAGCCAGCATTTCCTCTTTTCTTTTAGAGTTTTCTTTGCTTGAAGGAATAAGGGCAGTGTTCTGCACTGGCTTTCACTAGCACATCATGCACACATAAAGAATTAGATAAAAGAGTAAATTCTAGGAATAAAGTATATTCTCCAAGCGCAATAGTAAGGCTTTGATCAAATACAGAGTTTATTACACTTAAATCCTGTATTGTTTCTTTGCAGTCTTCTGTTGTGATCCTTCTCCAGAGGTTGGTGACAGTACAAAGACTGGAGTCTGTGTTTGATCATGAGGTTTTGTTTGGACAACTCTTCAATGTGTCTCTAGTTCCCACTATAGAGGGGAGAGAACGCCTGGCTTGATGTTGTGAATCAATTAAAGTTCATACAGGGTTTTTTTTTTAAACCCAAGGCACCTTTCTGGTAGAGGAGTTTCAAAGTCTTGCTTCTGCAAAACATACATGAGTTTGAAAATTTATCCCAAGACCTTTGCTTTCTCCTATCAATAGCATTGTTTGAGAAATTAATTCCTTTGCCAAAAATCCAAGCCACCAATAGAAAATATGTATTATTGCCGGGCGCTGGTGGCTCATGCCTGTAATCCTAGCTACTCAGGAGGCTGAGATCTGAGGATCGCAGTTCAAAGCCAGCCCGGGCAGGAAAGACTGTGAGACTCCTATCTCCAATAAACCACTAGAAAACCGGAAGTGGCGCTGTAGCTCAAGTGGTAGAGCGCTCGCCTTGAGCTGAAGAGCTGAGGGACAGCACCCAGGCCCAGAGTTCAAGCCCCACAACCGACAAAAAAAAAAAAGAAAATATGTATTATTCTATGGAAACTGGGGTAGCATAAATAAAGGCAACTATAAGCCCTTTTAAACACATGCATAAAAATAGACTCTTTAAATCAAGCTGAGCAATTTCAAATGCTCCAGAAATTTATAGCATTTCTTTTGAATTTTCTGTATTATCTTTAAGGAGTTGTACAAAGGGGGTTCAACAGGTCATTTTATGAATGCATCTTAATCAATGTCGTGGTTCTCCCTCATCTCTCCCTATAAACATCTCTTGAAGAGTATGTGATTCTGTAAATACTCAGTTCAATTTTGAAAGATATAAGATCAGGATCAAAATGAACAAAAGTAGGTAAAGGAGAAAAATCATATAATAAATATTAAACTATTACATGTATGTGTACACATTAAATTATGCATATATATGCATACATATGTTCATATGTATGAATTTATATACACACCTGATCTTACCTCTAAGAATAAAGTTGTTTGGAAGAAATGTGTATAGACAATTCCATAAGGTTCTTTTAAATTAAAGCAGTGCACAAAACTGAGTAAGTTGGACACCAATATGTACATAGATTATGAGAGCATGAAAAAGACAAAAACATCAAATAAAACATTTTCCCCATTTTCCTCAAATTCCTCCTTGAATTGTGGTTGGTTGTATTTGATCTATTTACTCTGGTTCTGACTTATACAAATTTTAATAAGTTCACTATGTTGTTAATGTCTTATTTACCCTTTTGAATTGGCAGAGACTTTCAGGTCAGTAACAGTTATTTAAAGGTACTATTTGATGCCTTATTTTGGTGTATTGATATTAACTTAGACAAAAATCATTTTTCAGTAAAGAACATGACATTCCATTCCTATGAGATCAAGTAATAACTTATTTTATGGAAGGTGGGGAAAAATTTTTTTCATGTAGCTTATACAATATACTGTTAAACTTTCTCTTGTTTCTCAGTTGGATTATGAAAAATGTAAGGATTTTTCTGGCTGTCTTTGATTCCTTGTCTACTTGATCCTTTACTCCTTCTCTTCTTTTTTCAATACTATATTAAGTAAGTAATTCTACATTACTCAGAATACATATTAACTCAAAAGTTTAAACATTATTAAGATTTGTTTTGGTGTTTGTCTCTCAAGAGTTCCTAGGGAGGGGAAAATATAACCAAATATAGTGAACTGGTTGCATTAACATAGGTCACAATGAAGAAGAAGTAGGTGAAATAGTAGTAAACACAGATTCCTTAAGTCAGCTCTTATAATACAGAAAGATTGTGAAGTAATTGTTTCCTTTGCTCAGGAAATGTGCATTAAATTGCTAATTATACTTCAAGAACAATGATTTTGCTTCCTGCTTTGCAAAGAACATCATCAACATTATCATCACTGTTAAGCTCTAATTAAGTTCTTAATATGTTTGGGCATTATGTCATGCCATGACTTTCAAACTAATAAAATTATGCAACATATTTAGATAGAGGGGAATAATCAGATACAAAATCTGATTCCCATTCCTGTTACCATTTTGAGGTCACCATTTATATTGGAGCCCACCGGAGCACATATGAGAGAAAACATTACTTCTCTGTTAGACAGACTTGAGGACCACAGAAGAGTGTTCTAACATCTTAGCATGCTGTTGTAATGGTGCTTAGCCTGTCATGGTTTCAACATTTTGTTAGATGCCTAAAGATTCTCAATGAAAGTTATTGTCATCGTTGTCTTCTTCTTCTTCTTCTCCTTCTTCTTCTTCTTCTTCATTTTTCTTCTTCCGCTTCTTCTTCTTACGTGTAACCCAGAAATACATAAATATTCTTGTCATGATGACAAGAAGTTGTTTATATCCTCCTCCAGAAATATAAAAGGAGGATAAAATATATTGTCCATCTCCAATTTCCAAGCATTCCAAAAATAGAAAAATTTATTACACTTGCAAAATCAAAGATCAAAGAAAATAATCATCCTAAAGTATCAAATGCAGATTGGCAGGCAATCACAATCTTCTACAAATGTTCATAAAAATTTCATCCCAGTGGCCAGACATCTGGGCTTAAGAGAGCAACATTTTCATTGCAAAGTAATTAGAGCTTAATGGAGTCTTCTGTGAGTAAATTAGAACAGGAAAGGAGAAAAGATCACGGCCTCTACGTTTAATTAAACTTCAGGTTACTAATTCTTCTGTAGGCTGATTACACACACACTATGCAAGCATACTCTCTAAAGTGTGCGTTTATGTACTCAGTCATAGAAAACACTTTTCAGACACATAAGACATATAGTTTTGCCCTTAAAATAAACAATCCACTTTAAACAAAGAGAACTATTCATACTAAACCTAACTTCTTTTTCCACAGTAAGTGAGCAATTGCTATAAGATCAAAGGCTCTGACTTCTTCAGACCAAGTAAGATCCATTTTAGCTCTTCACTTACCACATCTAAAACTTTTTGCAAACTTCTTAAGCTTTTTAAAGCCCAATATCTTCAGTTGAATAATATACTAATAATAGTATTTAAATTGGAGTTTTAGTGCACGAATTAAAAATTATTTCTTACAACTACTTTGCTCAAAATATAAATGGTAAATAACTATTAACTTCTATATTCAAATTATGCACAATGTAAGTGACTTAGTAGTAAAACCATTCTGCACGTTTTATTTTTATTAGCTTTTTTTTGCCCCCAGAACAATTCAACAGATTAAAAATAAATTGACAGGGAAATCTCTTAGAGTTGTAATACCATTTAATAAGCAATTAATAGTTACAAGCTACAAAAGCAAATTGTTATTTCAAATATAGTCTCCATATTCTTAGAAAGATTTCTATAATCTTCCTACAATTGTTACTACATCAGTTTAATTTAATATATTTATTTTAACATCTTATTACTTGAATCGATATACTATGTTCCTAGCCTCCATTCTCCTTTTGTCAATCTTTAAACACAAACAGGAGTTTTACATAATATAATTTACCTTCTGGAAAAATTAAGTTGAAGTTTGCTACTAAAAGAATATTTATTTCACCATACGCCTGTTATATTTCCATTTTATAAAAATAAAAGAAGAGGAGAAAAAAATGGTAAAGAATTGTAGTTTTTTTTCTTCTGTCAAGTTTAAAAGTAGAAATGTTGTAAAAGAACATATAATCTTTGAAAAACCAGCAAAAAGCAAAAACATATCCTCAAAAGCAAAATTGCAGAGAGATTTGGGTTCTTAAGATGTAATTGATTCCACCAGGATAAAAATCTAAGAAATTATAAGGAGGGTCATTTTTGTGCTAAGGAAGATCCCTTTAACAATGGGTGTGCTCTCAAATACTTATATGATCATTACAGGCTCATTTTCCTTTTTTAACTTCCCATGATACAAAAGGATTTGGAAGAAACAATGGCACTTTAAATTGCTGTCTCAAATGCAAGATTTTTTCTTGCTTATTTATTTATGTGTGTATTTATTTATTGCTGGCCTCAGGAAAAAATATTATATTCCCATGTTACTAGATAAAGGCTCAGGGAGAGCAGCACTGTGAATGTATAGAGAACAATAATGAAGGCGGCACTGGAAAAGTAGGGGAATAAGAAAAATAATTACCTGAGGGCATGTGGTCCATGTTCCCCAATCAGACATGACACAGTCATTGGAACACAGGAGAGAACAAGACTGGGTTTCTGGGGGTGCTTCATTCTGGTTGCACAGACTAGTATTCATCGGTTCTCCTTCAACATTCGCAGTACTCACACATCTGTTAGGCAAAACCAGAAGACAGACTGATTGCTTAAAACAGTGGAGAGTATACTTAAAGCTATTGTACTATTCTGTAGTTACTGACTCTGAAAGGTATAGCTAAATTTAAAACAAGATCCACAAAAAATATCCAAGACATAAAAATAGAAAACACTATTCTTCATCTAGTGGGCTCTTATTGAGTGACAGCTCAATATGGAACCCTTTATTCAGAAAGGAAAAACAAACAATGGAAAAAATATCAGGAATGTGGTCTTCTTAACCTTTTGCGAGAATGCCTTCAAACAGTTATCCTCCTATCTATACTACCAAGTGGCTGAGATTACAGATGTGAAGCAATTCCCTTGTCTGGAGAGACCTGGAAATATAACTATTCCTTTTATTGTAATAAATCTTGAAGCCTTTCCTTCTCTAAATAGAATCACCATTTTATAATACATGTAGTTAGAGCCTTCATATATCTTAGGGCTCTTTTAAACTTTTTCTTAACAACTTTTCCAAACCTTCCTAAACTTTGCCCATAGTAAAGAATGGTGGCCTTTCATCCTCTTGTAAATCCATCAGCATGCTATCTCTCTGTATGTCTCTTTTGTAGTTATAATTTGCTCTTTGTCATCTTTCCATGTATTCTTTTTTTTTGTTTTTTTTTTTTTTTTATTGTAAAGATACTATACAGAGGGTTACAGTTACATGAGTGAGGTAATGAGTACACTTCCTCTTGAACATTGTTAGCCCCTCCATTGTTTTCCCCCTACCATCCCC